TTAAAATTATTATTATAATTTAAACATTTTATACTTTTCTGAAGCCCCATTCTATTTTAAACAATACGTAAAAGATTCGAATCATTTAATTTAAATTTAAAAGAATTATACGCGTTTGAAAATCGTTAATATTTTAAGACCTCTAAAGAAATTTAACACCCCTGAGACGTCATAAATGGTTATCACAGAAATTGGTAAAATTCACCTACTTGTTTTTTTAGTAGAAAAAAATTACGAATCATAAGTATTAAATTTAAAATATAATGTCATTTAATGACAAGCTTTAAAAAAAGGCTCATTCAGTACATATAATGAGTTTTCCTTTTAATACTAGCATAAGTTGAAAATAATCAGTTTCACCATGAATTAGCGTTTTCTCTTAGAATTAGCAATAGAAGAGATGCATAAAAAGTTTTTGAAAGATAAGAAGAAAGGTTGTAAGTGTTAAAAATGTTTTCAGATACATACAATGATAACGAAAAAATGAATTCTCATTTTTAGTTTTTAAACGTTTAATACATGCGTTTTAATATTGAGACTATAAAAATGGCTCAGTAATATGGTATCTTATTTTTAGTTTTAGATTTCTTTTCTTTTTTAGAATGCAATTTATTGTTTCGGGAATTATTATTTTTTTCAATGACTAATACAATATATTTACATACTCTCTATATAACCTATAATTTTTATTTCTTCAATAAATATACTATTTTCATAAGTAATAATCACTGCTTATTAATTGTTTGCATTTCAAAAAAGCATTTTGCACATTTATCTCAGCTTGACCATTACCTTATATAGTTAGTAAGTACTGCAGAATTGAAAAGTGTTTAAAACTAAATAATTATATCGTTGCTGTAAAATCAATAGTATCGAAGCATCCATAGTAAAGGCCAGAACTATTTAAAAAACGATAACTATTTTAACAAAATACAGACAATTAAATCGAATTTTTCCATATTCATTAATTTTGATGGTAATTTAATGATAATTTAAAGTTAATGAGATTAAATTTCACATTGTATTTCGTCACACAGTAGTTGGAATTCTAAAGAAATCATAAATAATTTTATCTCTTGGGAGATTCTTCGTAATTTTTAATAAGTTGTGGAGACGCTTCTAAAATCGCACTCAACACTCGACCACTATGAACTGGAGCCGGTTAGATGTAGAGTAGTAAAAATAAATCTGATCACATTCTCTGTGCTGAAACTCATCTCAAATCGTCTGTTTATTTATAACTTTTAATTTAATGAAATTAAAATGTATAATTGTAAATAAAGTTATTATTGGAAATAATGCTGCTAATCCTTCTAATATGGTGAAGTACTAGGGTTATTTCCGCATAAAAAATTTAGGATTGCTCCACAAAGTCATGTTATATGATTTTATTCTTTTGATTATATGTCTTCCAACTACACAATATCTATTGTTTGAATTTAGAGTACCTATATATGAATTACAATGGATTCCATCTTTTATTTTTTCATTTTCAAACATTTTTTTCTAAATTACGGTGTCACATTATAAATGCAATCACGCATTCTCCATTAATTTCAAAACTGACATTACACTTATACTTCTTGTCCTACTTGTAAAATTTAAATACAATTTCAAGCTCACTAATGAGAAATAAAAATATTTAAAATTATTCAAAAACTAAAACATTTAAAAGTTTTTAGAATTAAAATAAATTTTTATACTACACGAGTATTTTTAAATCAAGTGTATTATTTTTTCTATCAATGTCCGTTATTATTGTTAACAAGTATATACTTTTTAAAAGAAAGTTTTTACAAAAAGCAAAATTTAGCAACAGCGAAGTGCTTGAATTGATTGGCTAGAAACATGTGATTAAATTCATCATGAGACTATGATGTCACATGAATTTATTATCTGATTGGCTGGAAATACGTGATCGCAAATATGTGACTGTGACGTCACATGAATTTATGAATAGATTCACTGAAAACACGTGATTGTAGTTATCATGTGACTATGACGTCACATGAATTGAGTCCATTTGGAGGATAGAAGACAGATAAGACTGTAAGATAAAATAAAGAAAAACTAATTTTGTTAAAGTAGTGCTACTGTACAGTCGCTGACGGAGATAGTGATACGCACAGACATTAAACCTAAGTAAATATATTAGTTGAAAGGTAATTACTTCTTTCTTCTTATAATCCCTCAAGTATATTTAATTATATATTGTTTCATTTATACAGAAGTTAAGTTTTACTTTTCCTCTCAAACTGGAAATCGTGTATTTATTCTAATAAAGGAACAATACGTAATTCCTTTTTTCGTCAGTCTCTGTAAAAGCCTTGACATTTACTTTAATATTAATAGGATCCACACACATACAAAAACTATACTTTCTTATTGCTAGAACTACAACTACAATTCTGGGCAAACATTTCAAATACCAGTAATCCAATTTACACTTGTAAGAAGTGTTTTTAAATAAGAATACAGATATAATCCACTAATTAAATAAAGGTTTCTATAGTACTTACTGAATTCAGAATAAATTACTAGAAACGACACTTTCCATTTTGAGTATTTATGTGCATTTATTCTGTAAGCCCTTATACTTTTCTGCTCAGGTAATCAACAGTACAATCGTACAATCTATTTATACCTGTATTGATTAAATCTCTCTTTAAAGAAGCATTGGAATAACTAACTGCAATCAATTTTAACGATGTTAGAGAAAGAACAGTAAATGCTTGTCTCATTTGCGATTTCCTTGCCTTAATTCTATGAGAATGTTCCTGAATTTGAATCAAAGAGTAATAGCATTTTGTTTGACCTTTACTTAGTTTCTTTATATAATTCTTAATTATTTTCAGGTATAATTAACCCAAGATGCAGTTAGGTTCGTTTAGTATAAGATTATGAATAAATACCTTTAGTTTTATTATTCCTTGTTTTTTAAATTTGAAAGAGATATGTTTTCTGTGATTTTAATAGGAAAAATATTTATTTTAAATAAAATCATTATGAGAAATAATTTATATTTTCATGATGTTTACTTTTTTATTTAATTTGTAGAAAAACAATAACTTTTTGAAAATATGAAAATTTTTCCCATTGGACATAATAAAATTTCCTTCTAAATTAGTCATTATAATTATAGTGAACATATTGAATATGAATGCAAAGTTTAGAAAATAATAAGATGTTTTAGTGAAAAAGTGAATTGGAACCAAGAGATTGATAAAATGAAGTGGGGGAAAAGTGAAATAAAGTCATAATTGAAACAATTGTATTTTAATTCAATAACTTCAAGAAAAGAATACCTCTTCTCTAATATATTACTACACCAATCTATAATTCGAAACAACATTAGCTAAGGCCAGTGAGCTTAAGTATATTCCGAGATTTAAGGTTAAAGCTACCTCTACTTGTGAGAGAGTAACAGTGGCTCCAGAGAGCTCTTGACCGATGAAGCAAAAGTTAATATGTTAGGCTTAACGTGTCCAACAGATTTACTAATCGACTTTTATTTTGTGGCAATGTTATTTTACTGACTGAGCCTTAGAAACTCAGATGAAACTTGTACAACTGTCAGAAGATAAGGTTAAGAAACCATAAACTCGAAAACGTAAGTGAAAACATTGAAAATAAATTATTCTAAAAAATTTCCTAAAGTATCAGATCTTTCATTTATTTCATATGTTGTTGAAAATATATTATTATTTATGTACATTTAATTTTAATTACAAATTGGAATCATTAAATTTAAGATGGCAACTTTAGAAATAAAATTGTGTATAACTATTTTTCAGTTATTATTTATTATTTAGAGAATGGTAACACTTATTTTTAGTTCGGTTGTTTTTGTTCAGAATAGATGTTAGAATAAAGTTCATCTTTTGATTTGGAGATCTTTGAAAATATTTATCTCTTTTATTTCGAATTGCTAGCCACCACAATACGAGTTTTATTTGAAACCATTTCAATTTAGGAGTGAAGAAAGAGTGATCTAGTGTCCTTATAGTTATTTTGGAAAGCTAAGAAAATTAGTTTAGATTTTCTTTTGAAGTTTTAAAATATGTTTTCAAATATGTGCCTTATTGGCTTCTTACTAAAATTGGAAGTAGCAGAATTTTGTTCCAAGAAAAAATATAATTTTAAAATTTTTCTTTGATATACTTTATTGCTACTATGATAAAAAAATAATTATTCGTTTTAATAATAATTTTCCTTTAATACTATTGAAGCATTTTTTCTGATAAAAAGGATTGAGAAGAAATAATAAATATATTAAAAATATTTTTGTATTATTTACCAAATCTTATCCAATATATACTAAGAATTATTATAAAAATAATTCTTTAGAGGTTTATTAAAAATTTTTAATTTAATTTGTACATAGGATATTCATAGTACATTTAATATCAGTATTTTGTAGATTTCAACAAGATTGTACTCAAAAAATGGAAGAAGTAATTTGATTGCATATGTCTATTTTATATTACGTTTGCAAATTAGTGTTCTAACAATATTATCAGTAAATTCATTTAAAAGTAGCACAAAAATGTTTACCTTTAAGTTAATAATTTTCTATACAGAAATCGTCATTTTAAATTAAATTAGCTTATTAAAGTTAGAAGTTTTGGAATTTAAAAATTACTATAATTTATATTATTAATTATTATTAAAGCGATAAATTTTTCCTTTTTAAAAAAACGGAGGTAGTTAGCTTTAAAATACACTCATTTCCAAAAGTTATACACGAAGGAAAGAATTTTAATTTCCGTAAGCCGATCAGAATTAAAGAAACTGAAACTCGCAGCAAAGGTAGAAAAAAGTATGTAAATGTGTTAGGTAACAGATAATCTCACGGTTTCACGTCAAGAAATATGCAAACCAGGCAGTCGTATAAGAAGCCTATATTGTGAAAGGTTACATGAGTTACATCTGTAAGTGCTGATGAAAAATGGTTAGAGCAATCATACGATTTGTTTTCAAGCTAGACGTGTTTCTATTGCGACTCAACTAGTATGGTGGATATGACTCTTGGCTTCTAACTAAGTGGGTTTGGGTTTGAATCCCGAGTAAGGCATGGTTATATCTTCTACGGGAAAAGAAGTCGGATTTTAGTTTGCAATAGATTCTTGTCTCGAATGGAAAGCAGTACACCCCTTCTTGTTATGTGCTGGAATCATCATTTGTAATAAATGTCTATATTCTTTTGTTTGTATCGTATGTTTCTGCCCTTCCACTCGCATTTCATCTGTATCCTAGGATCAAAACACACGACAGCAACAGCGTGTTTCTATTGGTTCCAGAAGACTATTGGAAGATTTTGACCGCTGGCGGGCTGTTGGACGCATTAAGCAGACAGTCTATGACACATGTTGCTCGTTTCTTTGGAGTTCATCGTTGAGTCATTTCACAATTATGGAAACAATTCTAAGACAATAAGCAGTTATCCGAGGAACTATAGTGGGTCATCCAAGGGTTGTGATCACCCTAAAAGGTTAGATATATAACTGTAGAAACCAAGCAGAATCAAAGATCGACCCCCCCCCACGTGGGGCATCTATGGTTGCAGAGGCCATTGGTAATAAAACGACATCTGGCACACTGCTGATGGTCGAAGACTGCAAATGAATGGTCAGTACAACAAGCTATTACAATTTTGTGTTCCTTTACCCATCCAACCCAGAAGGGCATGAATAAAGTGGTGCTACCAGCATGTGAATTGGGCTGTGTCTGATTGGGGCAACGTTATGTTCCCAGATGAGTCCAGATTTGCCCTACAACGCGATGATATGTGTTTAACCCTCTAACTGGACACCTTCCTCCTGAAAAGTTATTCCGAAAGCGTTTAACTCTTATTTTGCGATTCCCTTCAAAAATGCAACAGACTTTTTTCCTTTCCCCTTTTAGAACTTGGGTGGTCGAACGGGGAAAATTTTACGACCCAGTTCGGTCGCTTTGAAAAGAAAGAACCAAGAGATCAATCGTTTACAGCTAGCTGTTAAGTTGCCTTGGGCAATCTTCTTTGAAAGCGTAGATATCCTCTCTTGATCAATCCTCTTTGAAAAAGATACGGCGTTTCTTTCTCCTATATGTTCAGTCACAGTAAAATTAAAAACGAAATGAAAGGTAAAAAAAAAAGAGGAAAAAATGAAATAAATAGTATGTTAGAAGTTGAAAAATAATTATATTTTCTTCAAAGAAAATTTATTTTTCTGTCATTTTTAAAAAAAATATAATATATATATATATATATATATATATATATATATATATATATATATATATATTTGGTATTGCGATTTGAACCAGAAAAAGCATCCTGTATTCATTTTTGAATATGAGAGTAAGAAAACGCGCTCACTTTCCTGTTTTTTAAAAAAGTAATGAGGTAAAAAGAGCAAAGGCCCTATCTCATTTTTAAACAATAACACAATAAATATTACATACAATGATTATATTTATGAAATAAAACCGATCTTTCTCTATTCAGTTATATTTTTAATTTAAAATAGCATAAAAAAGGATTTCAATACTTTTAATTTATTTTAATTAAAATCATATAAAAGATATTTTTATGTTAACTGAATATTTTTCGGAAAAAATTAAAATTTTCCTTCCTAGTGTTCTCTTTTTCGAACTTCTTGTATTAAATAAAAATTCCTTTTCTACATCGGCATTTGTGATGGACAGAACACACATTCAGTCAATAATTTTTAATTTTAATGGGGGATATACTTCTTCAAATGCGCATGACAGTACTTCTAACCATTTTCTACTCAAGTTAAATTTCTTATCTTTCTGTTTCTTTTATTACAAGGAAAAATGTCACACATCGATAACTACATTTTCACACAATTCAGTCATTACAAATTCTATTGTGAGAAAAGTTCTCCTAATTAATCTTGTCTTTCAAAACAGTACACTTAAAACAATTTTGTTCAGTGAAGTTAACCGACAGTTCCACAATGTATTCATACCAAATTTTAAAAACAAATTTAACACTTAGAAATGTATCCTGTATTAAATTTTTCAGTATACACAAATATTTCCTGCTGTAGGGAAGATATAGTATGAGATGTGGTGTGCGGTTGTGAAAGAATGTTTTCGTACGTGTAGACTATTTTTGAAAATTTAAATATCACTGAAGCTGATCATATAACTGCAAATGAGCCTTATTTTAATGTGTGCTGGTATCAAAGTAAAACACTTTACAATATTAAACAGCCTATGGGTTTATACTCAATATCAAACTATTCGCAAAATGGCTTACAACTTCTATTCAAAATTGTAAAGAAACTGAAATATAAATATATCTTACTGCAGTCAAAAATATTCATAATATGTAAGTATCCTGTTGCTCCACTTATTTCTGTACATTTTAAAAACTGTAGCTGAATGCAATTTTTTATATTTATAAACGAGGCATAACAGCTCACACAGCCGTAAAAATGTCCTTATCATTTTTAAATATACTACTATAAAACGTATATGGATTGTAAGATCAGTTGTAAAATCTTAAAAGCTTTTAGAGGAGCTAAAAACATGTAATTTTGGACTGATCAAATTTTTAATATAATACACACACACAAATATACATGTTATTAAGCAAATACATTTGAAAAATCAAACTTCCTTCTGAAATAAACGTAATTGAAAGAAAAATGTTTAATTGCAAATGAGTGGAAATACATGTTTATCTAAGGGGTATCCCCAATGTGAGGTAACCCTCAAACTTAAGACTCAAACTCAGAAGCACAACAATCCATGAGGGCCAGGAACTACTGTGCCCATCATAATACACGTGACCATTGGACGCTGAGGTGCATGAACAGATGTCCCGATTTGGTGGTCTGTCTGAAGAGAGACCTTCAGTGTTTAAGACCCGAAGCAAGCTTGGTACTCATTTATCGACCCAATGTAGCGGGGATGAAAGGCAGAGTCGACCTTGCGCAGCCCGTTAATAGAACCCCAGACCTGTGGTGTGGAAGCACTATACACTTTCACTCAATCCTATTCGGTGAAAAATAAAATTTAATGTTAGAATCTTATATAAATCCCTAATGAATGAAGGAGTCCAAACTATTTTTATCATGTAAACTGTTTAGACGGAAATGGTTAATTATGAACATTTCACAAGTTGCATAAATTAAAATTAACCGTTATAGTTAACATAAATTTTGAAGGGTACAAAAGGTGTATTTAGGCTGCACGAATTAATTTTAAAAGGAATACGGTTACGAAAAAGTAGTACAAATCTATCTAAAGTAGGGTTGGTTACCTCACATATTGTCAAACCCAACAATGTATTGGAAGCCAATTCCACAATTCGTTGTTATAAAAATGTATGGAAAATTACAAGATTTATTTTTGCATTTGTAATTTATATATATATATATATAATTTTTCCTGGGAACTTTAAAAGCTAGAGCGGCATCCATCAAAACCGCGGTTCTCTCTCTGTTTTTCCAGATCACCCCTGACTAAGCCGGCTCTGCCATAGTAAGTGAAAATGCCGGATTTTGTTTGTCAAGATCATTTTATAGCAGACTGCATTTTATATTTTCTACATCAATATCTTAATGTCTGAATTTAAAATTACATAAAATTCTTGACATTCGCATCAATGACCATGATAATTTTTATTAGTATATGAATGTGTCATCGAACGATTACATGACTAATATTAACACACACACACACATTATTTTAACCATTTAATTGATATCAAGTATAACATAACGCACACAAATTTTCTAAACTTTAAAATAAATATTTCGAAAACTATTTCAGATATACTCAAAATTTTTTATTCCTACGCTTTAGCTTCTCAGTTTTGCTTCTCTATGTAAGAATTTATTGTAATTGTATATTCATCAATTTTTTTAGTATATTTTTGCTCTTAGCATGCGGTTTTCAACCGAATTGTATGAAATCTTCGAAACATATTAAATGAATGATTGAATATTAACGTCGCACTGTTCAGCTACACGAGGGCTTTTGGCGACGGACCACGTAATTTTGAACCATGGTCAAGTGACGTGGACGACATCTGAGCTGGCACCCCCCTCTCCTAACTACCCCACCACACCAACGGGAGGACGTTTCAGCTCTCGACAGATTTAACGTGCATCGCTGCCCTACACGGCGGGTCTTTAGTGGTACTGGGCTCGAACTCGTGACAAAGCAAGCCACGTTCCGATACCTATACCACTCGGCTACCGCGGCCGAAATATATTAAAAGATACCAAAGAAGCTATATAATAAAATTTGAAATTTTTATTATACTCAAACAATTGCTAAAACTTATGGTAAATAATTTTTAACTGCGCGATGCATTTTTTTTCGAAATTTCAAATTGAATTTCTAACATAAAATTTCTAGCTTTATAAGGTCGAGATTTCAAAACATATCCAGATTTTAATTACTTATTCAGTTAGCCTTTAAAAAAGATAAATGTTGAGGTATATTTTGTATAAATAGATATTTTTGAACAATATATAATTCGAATGTTTCTCAATAGCTCGAATTTAAAATTGGTTTTTATGTTTATTTATATGCATAAATGTCTACTGTAAATGTTTCCGTATATTTTTGATTACCATTTATTCAAACATTCAAGTTATAAAAAAAATGTGTGAAAATCTTCATTCATGTTGTCTTTGATGTAAACTGAAGTTCAAGCACTTAAAATTCAAATATAATTCGGTGTATTTTAACAATATATAACCAAGCACTGTACTTAAACTTCCCTGAACACTTAGGCTTTGAAATCTAAAAAAAAAACTAATAAATCTTAATTTTTTTTTTTTTTTTTCGTTATTATTTTTATCAAAGTGTAAGAAAATGTTTCAAATGATTTGATGAAGTTTAAATTTATTCATTTTTAGTGGTTGGAAAATTGAAAAGGTTCCAAATGTTAAAGAGTTTGATGTTTTATTAATTTTTTCGGTATCTTATGATAAAATAATCATGTTTTAAAAACTGAAAGCTTTGAATAAGAAAAATGAAGCGAAAGAGAATATACTTAAAAAAAGATAATTTGTCTAACTATATAAAATAGCAGATTGCCCTGACACG